AAAAAAAAAAAAAAAAAAAAAAAAAAAAAAAAAAGCAAATGCATCCAAAAACTAAAAAGCAAAGCCTCCCTTCTTCCTGGGGAGCGGGCGCTGCTGCGGGAGGCGGCGCCGCCCTTTCCTGGCGTTCCCTGCTCCGGGCGCGGCCGCAGTTAGGACGGAGCTTTGGTGGTGTCGCCGAGCAGGGAAGGGTTCCCGTTCTCCTGCTTGGGGGAGCCGCGGCTGGCCGGGACGGCGCTGCCGAAGGGCGAGGCCACGCTGCCGGTGGAGGCCGGGCGGAGCTCGCCCGGGGCCACCTCCCGCTCCGGGGGCCGCAGCCCCGGCGGCTGCAGCGGCAGCGCCAGCGGGAAGCCGGCCATGTACAGCACCCGGCCCAGCCTCTTGGCCACCTGCGGGAAAACAGGGACAACAGCCGTGGGATGGATGAAGGCAGGAGAACGCCCCGGGACCGGTGGGGGTTTGTGCAGAACGCCAGGAGCTGCTGACAGAAAAGGTTCTCCGGAGCAGCCCCGTCCCTGCAGGTGTTCAAAGGCAGCCTGGACGCAGCTGGGAGCGCCCTGGGGTAGAGGGAAGGGTCCCTGCCCGTGGCAGAGGGTGCCACTGGATGGGCTTTAAGGTCCACCCCAAACTGTTCTGTGGAACATCACTGGAATGAGCAATCCTGCTCCAATGCACCTCAAAACCAGGCCAGGGAAGGTTTCCTCTTTTCCTCAAGGATTTGGTCCCAAGGTCCTGCTCCTGTTTTCTTGCCAGAGCCCCCAGGTCTGCCCTGGCTCCCCTGCCCCGGCTCCAGGCGTGCTGGGACACCCCAGGCGAGGGGAGCCGGCTCATTCCTGCCTCTTTTGTCCCTTTTGGACACTCCCCCAGGACTCTGCTCTCCCTGTGCTGCTGGCACAGCACTGCCCAGCCTCTTTGGAACAGCAGGAATTGCTCTTGAAAAGGCCAAGGCAGGCAGGGAGAATAAAACTCCTGCTGGAAGGAGCCTGAACCCCTCTCCTGCAGCAGCTCCTGCCTCCCAGCACGGGCCAAAGGCCCCACAGCCTCCCAGCACCTCCACAGCTGCTTCCCATTTCAGTTTAAACAAAACCAGGGGCTGCTGCTGGACCCAGACAAGTGGGACATTATTCAGGGAGCAGCATCAGGGCTCTGCTCCCCCCCATCCAACCCCGGGTCCTGCCTTCTTACAGAACTTTAAACACTACTGATTAAATGGAAGGAATTTTTCACGTTCCAGCCCCTATCTCGCGTTCCCCCCAGCCCAAGCCCCATCTCTGAGCTGTTCAGGGCTCTCTTGTTTTTTAAGGAACATAAGAGTTTTATTTCCTCCTGAATTGACCCACGGGGAACAATTGCCCACAGAACCTTTTTATGAGCCCCCTCATAAACAGCGAGGGCTGCAGGGAAAGCAGTAAAGCCGCTCTCATTGTTCCAGCCCAGGCAGCGTGGCTCTGGGGACCTGTGCCAGAGCTGTCCCCGTGGGCCCAGGGACTGCAGTGACAGCCACAGCCCCACCCAGGACAATTCCCGAGGGGACCCAGCACCGCCTGGCTCTTACACGTGTCAGGAGAGACTTTCTGAGCACTCAGCGGGGAAAGAATCCAGCAGAGATATTCTGGCTTTGAGTCCCACTGAGGGGAAGGAGTGGAACTGCTGTGGCTGGAACCAGCCCCTCTAAGAGCTTCCCACTGCATCCCTGTTATTCCTCCCACCACTCATCCTGGACTGTTTATTTCTGCCCCTGGGTACTGAATTCTGTCAGTGGTTTCTCCCTGACACAGCTGTGACAGGTTTCAGGTGAGGCTACGGAACATTTTCAAGGACAGATGGAGCAGTCTTGAAACAGAATTGCAACTAAATTATTGCTTAATAAATGATATTCTATCAACTACGTTTCTGGACAGCCCCAGGGGCAGCTTTAAATGGTGTCACTTGTCCTAAGAGAGGAGATTTTCCTACCTGTGACCTGATCTTCAGGGCAGGTCCCAGCTTCAGCCCCATGTTGTTCAGCAAGTGCTCTTCTGTCAGGAGGGGCAGGGTCTCCCCGTCGATGGCCTGCTCTCGGAATACCTGAGGGGACAGTGCCAGGCCAGCCTCAGTGACACACCTGAGCCACCTGTGCTGCCTGCCGCAGCAGGGCACCACGGAAAAGGCCAACCCCAAAATCCTCAGCCCGTGTTTATCCAGCAGGGCTGTTTCCAGCCCATTCCCTGCCCTGGATCCACAGCCTGCTGCCGTCCCTTTGGGGAGTGGCTGCTGGAGCCAAGGGGATTTTTACTGCTCTTTGACCCAGCACAGCTCACTGCACCCATTCCCTTCCCCTCCTCTGCAGCCAGCACGGCCAGGAGCCAAAACCCTCCCTGAAACGCCGCACAAGAAGCCTGAACTGGGAACAGCATCCCCTGGGTGTCCCCCAGCTCCAGAGCTGAACCCAGGCCAGGACAACTTCTACTTGCGCTGAAGTGCCCCGGTTTGCCTGCAGCCCTTTCCTGGTTCTGGGATCAGCATTCCAGGGAAGCCTGCAGCCCTTTCCTGGTTCTGGGATCAGCATTCCAGGGAAGCCTGCAGGCCTTTCCTCGCCAGAGCAGGGAGCTGAGCAGTGCCAGACCTCCCAGCAGTTGTGGGCTCAGGGCAGGGAATGGGCAGAGCCTCAGAGCTCTGGCTCTGATTTCACACATTAAATAACCCCATTAAAGCCCCCAGGCAGGGCCTGAATCCCTCATCCCCCAAAGCCTGGGAGCCCCACACGACTGGGCAGGGCCAGGCCAGGGGCCGTCTGCAGCAGCTCCAGCAGCCTGGAACTGCCTGGGCTGCACTGGGAAGGGAGAAGCTCAGTCCCACTTGTTGATTCCTGCCCCACTGGAGCACCAGTGGAGCTGGGATTTGGGGTGTAGAGCCTTTTTCCTGAGCTCTCATCAGCTCACACATCACAGTCCTGGGCCATCCTCATCCTCACTAAACGCAGCTCCTGAACTCCCCTCTACACACAGACATCCCACAAACACCCACCACCCATCTCCCTCCCCCCTCAGTCAGAACCTGACCCTCCTCCCACCCTGATCCCCGCCCAAGCACACCCTCCATCCCTGTCCCTCCCCCTGGGGAAGGCTCCCTGTCCCCCATCTCCAAACAAACATTCCTGGCCCTCAGTGTCTCTCTCCCAGGCAGCTCCAGAGCCAGGCTGGTTTTAACAAAGCCTGTTCTACCTGAGCTCAGGCCCTAATCCCATCCCCTCCTGCTGAACTCCCTCCTTATTTCTGCCCAAGACTTCATCCCACACCTTAGCTGGCAGCAAACTCAGCAATCCACGAGGAAATCACCCAGCAAAGCCCTGCAGGGCTCTGAGAGCTTCAGGAGGGAATGGGGCTCCCAGGAACGTGGATGTTCCTGCCATGACCTCCTGGGGCTGCTGGGATTTACCTGAGTGTACTCAGTGCAGCCAGACAAGTTGGACACGAAGCTGCAAACGTCCTCCACTGTCCATTTGCTGATGTCTTCCAGCGCTGGGCTCTCCTCCCCATCCAGAAACAGACCTCCCATGGTGCCTGGATTGTTTGGAGTCGGGGGGTTGGAGGGAGGGGAGGAGAAAGGAACATAAATCATTAAAATCCCACACAGACAACAACCAGCCTGCAATCTGAATATTTTTCTCTAGCCACACATTCATCTTTAATGACCTGTCAATTAAAGCACTGGGCAGGGTCAATTCATAGGCCTCTTCCTCCTGGAGGTCCCCGGCTGGGGGAAGGAAAAAGCCGAGCTAATGCATTTCATGTGTTTAATGTTCTTCAGCTGCGGGGGGAAGCGGGGGAGGAGAGGGGAGAGCAGCAGAGCCTGGAGGAGTTTCTCCACACACACCACAAAGCGGAAAACTCTGCCTGCCCTGTGGGCTCCTCTCCCAGCCCCGCTCCCGAACGTGCTCGGAATGACAACGGGAACCGCTGGGGAGCTCCTGCTCCTGCCAAGGGCTCCTCTCCCAGCCTGGCCAGCCTGGCACGTGTCAGGGACAGAGCCACTGTTCCCAAAGCAGCCGAGTGGCCAAGGGCCAGCCCTGTCACACGGGGGACAGGGGAGCCCCCAGCCCTGCAGCAGCTCACTGCCACAACACCCAGAGAAACCCCAACGGGAGAGGCACCGGGACTGGAAATGGAGAGAGGAACACCTCAGGTAACCCACACCTGCTGTGGGGGAAAAGGGAGGACACAGAACAAACCAAATTGCACAAAGCACCTCTTTAGGGTGGGGGAAAGCCAATATTAACCCCTGGAACTCTGCTGTGGGGTGCTGGACCAGGGAGCACAAGGACATTTACAGGGATGAGAACATGCAGGATTTCTCAGGCAGGGAAAGACTTTATGAGGGGTATGAGCTGTTCTGCTCAGGACATGCAGAACTGCCAGGAGAAAAATTATTTCTCCCAGGAGCCTGTCATGACAAAATTATCTGTCCTGTGGGCTTGGGGCTTTTCCCTAGTGGATTTGATGGATATAACCCCTCGCTCCTGCCCACAGCAGCTGGGACAGCACTTCTACATGGGATGGCAAGGGAAAAACGGATAAAACAAAAGCATGGTGGGGAGCACAGGCCGAGAGGCCAGGGAGCAGCCAATTCCCTGGGGAATACCCCAGGGCCGAGGGAAGGGGCAGGGAAAGGAGCAGAGCCCCACACGCTCCCTAGGAAGCCTCGGGCACACCCGGGGAAGCAGGAAAAGCTCCGGATCTGCACAGAAGTTATCGCAGCCATGAGATGCTCTGAACCAGCAGAGCCTGCACAGGGAGCAGCCAAAGGCTCTGCAATCATTTCCACACATTTCCCTTCCCATTTTCCCACTCCCTTCTCCCTCGCTGTCCCTGCAGCTGCAGCCCCTGAGCGTGGGCAGGATCCAGAGCCCTGCACAGCCCCGGGCAGCCCGGGAGCAGCTCCTGGAGAGGGGCTGGGATTGCTCCTGGAGAGAGGCCATGGGAGCAGCCCCAGAGCTCAGGGTGAGCCATGTCACAGCCAGAGCCAGGACGTCCTGCCTGGAGCTCTCCAAGGCTCTCCACAATCCAGAGCAGGCTCTAAGGAGATGCTGGAACAGGGGTTGGACTAGAGGAGCTCCAGTGGTGCCTCCAGCGTGAGCTCTCCTGGGCTCCTGTGCTGGCTGCTGCCTCTGCCAGCTCTGCCCGTCCCTCTGGAGCGGGGACAGGGCTGCTCCTCTCTCCTCACACCTTTGTGCCCCTCCTCGCCAGCGCTTTGCTCCAGCCCACAGCCCTCAGGACACTCACCAGCCCTTTCCCAGTTCCAGCTTTGGGCAGGGCTGGTGCTCGGGTGTCCCCCCGGCCCCTCCTCTCCCATCCCAGCCCTGTCATGGCTCAGGAATAACCCTGGGAAGGATTTCTGGAGCTGAGCACGGTCCCTTCCCCTCAGATCAGCGCTCCCCAGCTCTGAGCCCCCCGGAGCAGAGGGGCTCCTGCCCTTCCTGCGCCTCCTTGGGAGGAGCAGCTCGGGCTGTGTCCCCTCGGTCTCTGGCAGCCCGGACAATGAGAACAAATAGGTGCCAAGTGGCTGCAGGGCCGCACCTTCGATCCCAATAATGACATGTCAGCGGCTGCCGGAGCCACAAAGGGCAGCAGCCATTCCCTGCCTGCCTGCCTGATAAATGATGCTCCAGGGGGCTGCTGATGGATCAGGGAGCGCTCCAGCAGCTGGGGCCCGGCGTGCCGGGGCTGGAAGGAATCCATCGTCCCAGGACAGGTGTCCCCAGCACAGCCCAGCCACACGCCATTTATAATTCCCCTCCCTGCTCCCCATGTCCAGCTGCTGCAGAAGGAGAAGCCGGAGGCGGAGAGCGGAGCCCGGCCAGGGAGGGCCAGCGGCTCCGGGCTGTGCAGCACGGCCAGGCCGGCCCTGGGCTCCTGGCACCCCGGGGACAGCCTGGGGACACAGGGCCAGCCCCCGGCAGCCAGCCCCCCTCTGGGCTCCGTGGGTTTTGCTCCCAGCCCCGCTCCCCTCCCGTGGCCCGGGAGGGCTGGGGTCAGGAGCAGCACAAGGCTGCCGTTAATTGCTCTCCAGACTACAATCAATAGAAGGATTTTAGCCTCCTGCACACTCCATCCTTCACCTTTTCCGAAGGACGGGGCTGCGGGAGGAGGACGAGGAGGCTGCTGAAGCCTTGAGGAGATGAGGTCATCGAGCCACAGCCCCAGAAGGCAGCTCAGGGAATCGAGCTGGCCCCGCTGCCTCATCTCAGGGACAGAGCAGCACAGAACTGCCTCATCCTCAGCGTCCTGCTCTGCTGGATGCTTCTCCCCTCTCCTCTCCTCCCTCCAGCTCTTCCTCTTGGTCACCGGCCCTGCCTGGGCGCTTGTGCTGTAGTTACAGTCCCCAGGGTAGGGCAGAAGCTGCCGCCCCTCCTGAGGGAGCAGACCCTGGGCAAAAAGGGGCACAGGGATTGTCTGGCACAGGGGGAGAGGTGGGTGCAGCTCTGCCTGCCCGCCCTCGGGAGCTTTGTGTTCCCCCAGAGCCTCTGAACACATTTTTCGCTCACCCCAGGATGGCTGCAGCCCTGGGATCGATACAACCCTCACTATTTCAGCATCTCACCTCAAGCCCTGGTGCTGCATCCTGCACAACCCCCGGTCCTCCCAAGGCTTTGCAGGTGCGAGGATTTGCTCTGGAGCAGCTCGGCAGAGCCCAAACCCGCAGGGAGATCAGCCCCAGCACCACGTGAAAGCAGCCAGAAGCCAAAGAGCCCCCAGGAAAAGACCTCCAGCCCTGGCACAGGCTGCACAACCCGGGAGAGGCGGGCAGGGAAACCCAGCCTGGAGCTGTGCCGGCCCGCGAGATGCGCCGGTGATAGAAATCCAAAGTGATAATAATAAATGGGCTATTACAGCGACTCACAGGCTGCTGGGGGAGGGAGGGGAGGCAGCCCCAGCCCAGGCCTCCCTGCAGAGCTCTCACAAGCCACGAGCACCACGGAGCTGAGCCCGTCCCTCTCTAATGGCCGGGAGGAAAAGGCTCCTGCGAGGCAGCCTCGGCAGCCCAAGGCAGCAGGAATATTTATCATCCTGGCCACCTGCCTGTCGCTGAAAAATCGCTTCCTCCTTCCTGGCTGGGAGGCAGCTCTAATGAGGGACGGGCAGCCGTGCTCGCAGGCAGCTCCTGGCGTGGAGAGCAGCACAGCACA